GATTATTTGGGTGTTCTTGTTGCGGTAGTTGTTCTTTCTTTTTCGCTAGTACTGGTTTTTTATCCATGCCAAAGATTCCAAGAATGGATCGTTGTGGTGATTTTATACAAGTAATTGGACCTGACATGTCCGTAAAGATTTTCATGCATTTGGATGACCCTTCTGATCTCGCTCGTGTCTGCTCTGTTTCGAGCTCTTGGCGCCAATTCGGTAAGCAAATATATCAGCTGGTGGTGGGTTTTTTGTTTTTGTTTTTTTTTTTTTTTTTGTTTTTTTGTTATGCTACTTGTATACCATTAATTTTTTGTGTTTATAGTAAGTTCATGACTTTCTTATTCCCAGATTTTGTTTGCAGTATTTGTGTGATTATATGTAGGCATCGAACTAACTAGTGATTATTCTGAGGAATTAAATGTGTACCTGTCTGAGGAATTAACGTAACTTTTGGGCTCACTTAATTTTGAGGGCTCCTGAACCAACCACTGCAGTTAGCTATTGTTGGTGTAGCACACTAAGGTTTAATTTGGTTATATTCTATTTCAGTTCCTTAGTTTTAGATCTCATGCAAGTTAATAGACATCATGTAGAGTAACTACCTTTCAAGCTGGAAGTTGAACTCTCACCACCAGGAGTTCAAAGTGGGTACGCCTATAACTCAAAGAGAGTATATATGTTTCAATTATAGATATTAAAGACTAATGGGGAATTAGAACTCGGAATTGACTAGTTACTGAAAAAGAATAAAACCAAACACAACGTACTTGATTCTCGTTTTGTGTATCTCAAATTTATGTATTTGTGTCAAAGAATTGAAACAACTGGATTGCAAATGCATTTCTTACTATCTTTTAGAAACTGACAACTTACGAAAGCCACCAGAAACAAAGCTTGATGTTCAGTTTTGGGTTGATCTAACTTTTTCTCATTAGAAACTTTTTCTATGGTTATCTTTTTGTCAATGAAGCTGACATGATTTTTTTCCCCTAATTTTTTAAGTGATTACAAATGGACTATGTAAACATCTTTGCTTGAAGAGATTGCCTGAGATATCTACTGTCACTGATTTCATCGAAGTGGGCAACATGATAGAACCTGTAACAGTTGGGCAGAGCGCTTGTTTGGAATGGGAGTACCATAAGAGGAATCATCGAGTATATGCATTTTTAGCTCGAGGATTAAACCCTTTCTTAAGAAAAGATTGCATATCAGAGGCAATCTGTGCATCTAGCACTGATAATTATCCTGAAGAAAGCATTGATAATACTTTGGAGCCAAGTGATAGAGTTGAACACAGAGCTTCATATTGGTCAAGCAAAGGGGCAAGTCACCCTTCAGCACCTGAGACGTTGGTCTACAAGTTGATGGCTAATTTATGTCTTGTTACCGAAATCCATATTCACCCTTTCCAGGGTTAGTCCTGATTATCTGTATTGTTTTGGTATTTTAGGTTCTTGATTTTTCCTCCTTTAGACTGACATAGAACTTGTGCCTTTCTTATCAGCGTATTTTCAGTATGGCTTCCCTATATATTCATCTAAGGCTGTCAGGTTTAAAATGGGTTATGCCAAGTGTGTAAAAGAGTTGCATCCTGAAGTGACAGATAATTCTGTGACTGTTGACAACTTTATATGGACTTATACTTCTCCAGAATTTCCAGTTGTTCAGGTGAGTAGCATGTCCAAGATAATTTGTCTTATATTTTGTTTTCGGGGAGGTGAAGGACTTTCTCGAATGTCTCTTCTAGTTATGGCTCTATTTTGATCGTCCAACCTGAACTGGGAAAGTAGACATATTCTTCTGGCCTTTTAAAAGTTATCCCCTCCAACACGAAACTGGGAAAGTAGACATATTCTTCTTGAGATGTGTCTGGCCTTTTAAAAGTTAGCCCCTCCTTGACAATGTGATTCTAGGGGCAAGTATTGAACTTTAAGAGCAAAGCGCTCTCAATGGGATAAACTTTCAAGTATTGTGGATATGCTGGGGATATAAGTAATGCTAATTGGTCAAATCCATTTCTGATAGCCAGTCCAAAGAGTTTTACAAAAATATCATGAATTAGTCCACTGTTGGGTTTTCGTGACATTCAAATTGCAATTGCTTTTACATGTTAACAGAAAAACTGCCTACAAAAATTCAAGCTACCAGAACCTGTTCTTTGCATTGGAGGAATTTTAATGGTTGAGCTACTTGGTAGAGTTCAGAAACAGGAAATGGACGATTTATACTATATATGGTTAGCCTTGAGATACAATTATAGCTATATACCTTTTTTTCTTTTTTTCATAGAACCATTTTTTTTGGCGTATCCATGCCTTCAATGAATTCAACTAAATTTGTTTTGGTGTTCTGCAGTGTCTCCCATGTTCAAGTTGTAGGACAGCCGCTTTTACCGCAGTTTGATGTGGAGATAAATGAGTCAACAGGAAAGTGCACCTTGAAATACTTCCCTGAAACAGATTGTTGCTTACCACCACAGGCTTACTTGAAGAAGACGTAGGAACTTCTTCTCCATTCCGTGCAATCACTGCAAGACTGGTACAAGAGGCACAAGAGGTTGGGAGCATATGATCTTGAACACATTACTTGGTCTCGAGAATTGAGCACCGAAGAACAACTAGTCAGGGAACAACTTGCTTAGGTTTAATTGTTTTGACACACTCTTCTTTTGTTGTTTTCTTCTTAGTTCGAACTTAATCTCATTTGACATCAACTTTTGGGTATTAGTATAATAGGAGAGGAAAAACTTTTTAACAGTGACCTAATTACATTACTAAAGATCAGTTCTGAGAAAGAAGATATTAGGTAGGGGATGATTTTGCAACCCTGTAGGATTTTCTAAAATTAGTATTTGCAGGGAGTTTGCCCATTACTTTGAACCAATCTGCAATTTCTGTCGTCCAAAGCTGATTCAGCCATCTTTAGATCCATTACATGAATGCAATTTGTCACAATCATCACTCAAGAAGCCTTTCACATCAAAGATAAGAGGGAAACAAAACAAGTGAATCTCATATTAATAGGAACCTTAAGATGTTCTTGCAAAAAGTATTTAGTCTACTAAATTACACTTGCCATACTTGGAGATAGGAAAACTCTCGGAAAAGTTATATAAAAAAAAGGGGATATCTCTAAACACCTATTGGGAGTACAAGTGCTTGATGTAACAAACAATTCCATAATTAGGCGCAGCGAAGAAGCAACTATCTCAGATAACTCTGTACAAAGATATATGCCCAACACACCAAATCAAAGCCAATATTTTGGGTCAATCTTGTTAGTCATGCTTTCCAACCATAACCCATTGTATCGTCAAGGTCATTGTTAAAAAACCCGTTTTCAGTGAACTCATGAGATATATCCGGGACCATGTCCTCTTGTAAATGCAAATTCTGAGGCAAATCAAGTGCTCTCTGGTTGAATCCATTGTTGCCACCAGCTGCAGAAGAATTGCTGTTTGATGCAGCAGCTTTGAAGCTGTTGCTCCGACTTGGAGCAGGTCCAGCTCCACCTCCAGAAACATTGGAACTGGTGGGAGCAGCCGCTGAAGTATTACTCCCGAAACTCAATCCATTCCGTGTCCCGTTACCATTTACATTTTGCCCTGAAATGGGCTGCTGCTGAACACTTCCACTGCTGTTATTGGACATGTGAAGCAACTGCTGAATCATTTGCTGTTGCAAGGCCTGGTTACTTTGGGAGCTTGGAAGATGGTTCTGCTGTAGTAAACTATTGCTACTTAATGACCGCTGTTGCAGTTGCTGGGCCTGCTGCGGCTGTTGAGGTAAATGGGGGTTTGAAAAGCCACTGATGGGTAGGTTCTGCATGGATCCTGGGACAAATGGAGGCCCCTGAAATGTTGTTGAAGGATTCTGATTTGAATTGTTGAATGAAGATGATGCATCTTGCTGGACTGAGTTAGGATTTGAATTCATTGAATTCTGCCTCATGAGAATATTCTGGTAGTTGCTCAGTGCTAAAGCAGCCTGTGCTGAGCCACCAAGAGCCCCTCGACCGACCATGTGATGGTTATTGTTCATGGGGTTATTTATCCCTGGATGCAACGCCATCAGCTTATTAAGAGTGTTCCGGTCAGTTGGCAGACCCTGAACATTTGCTAACTGTTCCATTTCTTGCATCTTTTGCATTTGGAGTTTGGCTGCAGTGGCATGCCGTGGGTAATTTTTCAAGCCCTCTGAAAATAGTAGCCAAACAAACACAAATTGAAAAAATCACATTAGGGGAATAATTGATACTCTCAAAGTTACAAAAATAATCAATAATCATAACCATCAGGCATATTGGCATTCAAATGCAGTAGGCAACCATAAAAAACCAAGGGTGTAAGCACTAAAATAGCCATATATCTAGTTTTCTGCCCTTATGCAATACACATGATTCTTGTTAAAAATAAACACCAGGCACGATGTTACCAATTGGCCCAACTTTTTGCTCCCGGGAAAAATCAATCAGATCTTTCATGCTGTTGACAACTTCGGAAATCTGTCATATTACAGGGAAGCACAATTAGCAAATAATACATAAACACAGATGAACTTGGGGGAGAGACAGAGAAGAGTTCTATCGGAATCCAGGAAAGGCCACAATATACCTGCAAACACCTTACATATCTTTTGGAAAAACCCAAATCATTCAGTGATTGCAACTCCAGACTCTTTGCAAGTTGGCGTCCAGCTGTCAAGACCCTAAGCCAAAACAATCAAAGCAATATGTCAGGTAAAGTTACTGAACAAGGGAATAGAATAGAATCTAGTACTTCAAAACTACAAAAGCCACAGCAATTCTAAAATTTACAAGGATGAAATTCCATGCCATCCTGAAGAAAACATAAGCATCCTATAACTATAATACAAACAAATTACACAATCACCAGACAATGTAAAATTCTAGAGGATAAAGCTATTTCTGAAGACCTGAATTATCCATACAGACTCCCCTATTGATTTTTGCTACCATCATATGGCAAAGGATGATTCCAGAAATTCAAATCTCTAAATAGTCAAAAGCAGTCTATTCTTCTCCACCTCTTAATTCCATGTCCAGCATTCCTGGACAACAGATTCTTAAGTTCAAATCCTTAATTCGTAAAACAAAGAAGATCATCACCATTTCTAGATTTCTCATGCATCAAAAAATGAAACTTTTCACCAAAGCAATTAAGAAGCTTTGGAACTGACAGTCATTAGTAAACATCGAATAACAAGGGAAAAGAAAATAGTTCATTCACAGCTTGATTAACTCACATGTTGCTATTAGTTTGCAAATCCTGCTGAGAAACACCATCTGATCCACTTTCAGAAATTGTGCTCTGGCACTTCTGCGCTACCTGAAGCAATTGGCTTACCTGCAGATAAGACATTTTTTTTTGGCTTAAGTGACGCAAAGTATGCTTAGCATCTACACAAACATCTTATGACAACTCCACATATCAAATGAGGAAAAAGAAAAAGGGGAAAAAATGAAGTTACAAACAAAAGAATGCCCTAGTAAACAGGTCAAATGATCATTAATGTTACCATTTTGGCAACATTATGCACATCATCAATGCAGGTTCATGGCTTCTGACCTATAAGTGATTTGCTGATCTGTTTTTTTTTTTTTCTTGAAAAGATCCAACCTATTATTTAAGCTTTTAAGAAGGTAACATGCAATTAAATCTTTGGCCAAGGTATATATTCTTCATTATTTTTAGGAGATATTGGATCAAGTATGTAAAAGTGAGAAACAACAAGACACTCAAGTACCTGAGGTACAACCAATCTGCGAGGAAGAAGTTCTTCATGGCGCCGTGCACAGAATTCCCAAGACAAAATCTGGGGAAAGCAAAAAAGATCTAGTAGCTTACCTTTTTTAACAAAGAAAAGTCATAAACTAAAAATGGACTGAGACAAGAAAAAGCACTTCTGTTAACCTTTAAGTCATGGGTAAAAATTATACGAAGCTGGCCTTCACGAACAACACGGAGTTGCTCATATACACTCTCTTGAACTGCTTTCCCATACTCCAACATCATTATCCCAGAAGGAAACCTATATTCACGTGGCAAGTCCAAAAACAAAAGCTCATCGATTACACCACTGCCAAATTTGATTTCATTAAGTCTGGGGAGTACTTCAAAAGTTGCTTCTGCAGATATTAAAACAAACAAATGTAATCAGTTGGATAAGATTTTAACCAAAACCCATAACAACAGCATCTGCTCATGTTTTACTACATGTGAAATGTCATATGAAACTTTATTAGGAGAAAAATATTAATGGCAAGATTTTTTCACATTATGTTCACAAAATTATCAGTTAACTACATGCTTTCAAATGAGTATCTTTATTGCATGAATACTTTAATTGAGAAAAGCACTTCTGTCCATTTCCCTGATTAACATGGAAACATTCTTCGAGACAGTATTAAACATTCTACAGAGAAGGCATCAGATCATGATAAAATAAGTTGGAACTAAGACTAAAATGCAAATATCAGATGCATGTGACAAGCATTAAACAAAGAAATCTCAGAATCAGGCTGAGATACTAGTGTGGCACACATATCCCAACCTGCCTGGTTGTGTCTAAATTAAGAATACAATAAAACATGACATTGCAAAAGTAATGCCATACAGAAGTTCAAAACTTAAGCCTAGTTACATAGCTCTAAATCATGACATAGAAATTAACTACGACAAGCAGCTTGAAAAGATTCAAAATAGATTTTGAAATACTGCAGGTGCGATTGTTTCCTTTAAAGTATTTATTTTCTAAAGGGGGTTTCCCATAAATTCAAGACATACTGTATGCTTTGCACAACAGATAAATATATGACTCAACTTAACATATATGACAATGAATCAACTTTTCATTTAGAAGTAGAAGTTAATTTTAAGCTTAAAATGTACTTTCTCTTTCCTCTTTAATATAGAATTCACAATAGAATCAAGACAATAGTTTTTCAAGTTTAAAATGATGCAAAAGCATTATCTTACACAATAAGTAACTATATGACTCAAGCCACATGCAAAATCGAGAAAATAGCTTCTCAAGTTTACCATGATGCAAAGTCATCCCCATAATCACAGTTCAATGTGAAGCATTCAAGCAAAGAGAAAAAAGAGGACTGATTTTCTTACCAAATCCCCTTCCAGATTTAAAGCCACAAATGTCGCATTGCCAAGCATCCTGCATGAGGTCAATAGTCAGAACGGTCTGTGACACAACTACATGATCAAATCGGTGCATATTTGTTCAAATCAGGAGAAGACGTAGTTCTTATAATACAAAAACTATAAGACATGGGAATAATAACTAGTAAAACAGCATCAGAACTGACCATAGCTGCCTGTGGGAAGACACCAAGTGCATGATGGCCCACATTATCATAGAGGGATAAGCACCATCTTTTCTTTGCACGAGGAGAATAGTATTCTGCTACAAATTTCCTCCAGTATGCAATACTATTGTCCTATAAAATCATTCACAAGAAGAATTAATCACATTTCATTGGCTACAAATAACTGAAATATACATGCATTCAGTAAAAATGAACTCACAGGAGGCCGTTGACGCTGGTGATATAGGTATTGCATCAACCTACGAGCACATACGCCACCATCGTAGGGACGCTTAATTGCAGATACTTGCTGTATGCCTTGTTGCAATTGCTGCCTCAACTGAAGCTGCTGCTGCTGCTGGTGCTGCAACTGAGCTCTATGCAATGGGGGCATGGACTGCAACAGCTGTTGCTGTTGTCTTAGCCTCTGCTGCTGAAGTAAAGCTTGCAGCTGCGGATTACGGCCTTGTAATTGCATGGAATCCGGTCTCTGAAGCAGCTGTTGCAACACCTGCTGCTGCAGAATATCTTCCTGCTTGATATCTAATCGCGGTTTCTTTTGGACTTGGGATATATTATTAGGGTCCTGCACAACTGAACCAGGAACTCGAGAACCCATAGGAAGTGAAACTTGACCACTTTGTGATGGGGGCAATGATGTAGCACTGGAAGCTCCTTGTTGTTGCTGCTGTTGCTGCTGCCCCTGATGCACTTGTTGGACACTTGGATCTTGATGAGAACCCTGCTGCACTACAGTAGACCCGTCGACAACTGATGAGCCAGAAATGCTAATATTATTGGAAGAAAATGACATGGGCGATGCTGGTAGGCGCATATACGACTCTGTATTGATGCTTGCACTTCTCTGCAAATGGGGACCTCCAGAAAAAGCCGAATTTGCATCAGTTACCAAAGAGCTTGCCCCAACACTTGGTCCTGAATTTGCCACACTATTCAACATTGCATTATTAATGTCCCCAGAAACTGGACCCAGATTGGGACGCCCAGTTCCAGGAATTGAACTAGATGAATTCGCATAAGATGAGCTCAAGTGAGAGTTGACGACAGCCTGGGACTGCCCATCTCCTTGGAAGAAAATTCCAGAACTTGAAGAAGACTGGGTTAATCCTCCAGCCACGCGAGTAGGTGCCAAAGGGGGCACCGTCCCCTGGTGGCTGGAGTCCAAATAGCTCTCCAGAGCCAGGCCTGATTAATTTTATAATAACAAATACAAAACCCCCTCTATATCATAAAAATACAATGTCCATGCAGAGAAAAGAAACCCCACAAACAGTTCACAAAAAACAAGACTTAATATCAGTATCCTTGCTTCAGAACCAAAGACAAGTACAAATCTGATCCCTTGTATACTGTCACCGAACAGTGGAATATTACAAATATAGAAGCTCTTGTGTGACCAAATGATGAGTAATGTTAATGATCTGTTTCAGCTTTCAACAAATTGTTGTAGGGATCTAAACAGAGTCCAATAAACAAAGCAAACAACAAAATTAGTTGCGGGATAACATAAGCCAATAGGATAGAGTAAAATGGTAAACTCTTTAAGATAAATTTTCTCAAAGAAATAAGTAGATTGAAATTATATTTGCAATGCTAAATCATTCCAAATTAAACCCTCAAACACCAAAAGCGCATCTCCCTTGCCGCACCTAAAAAGCCCCAATTTTTTTAACCATGGCAACTAAAAGAACAACAAAACAACACTTATTAAACCTCAAAATTTCGGCACATTATAAAGTGGCATCACTCGATCGAAACAAATAGCTCAGAAAATTTTCAGCTTTAATTAAAAAATTTCTCATGGAATCTGAAACAAAAAGAAACTGTGATCAAACTCCAGTCGAATAAATCGTTTAAAAATCCCAATCTTCAAAATCCATGAAAATACGAAGATGATTCAATTAAAGTCTTATACTAGAAACCAAACAGGAAGATCGAGTAACAAATCACCTAAAGAGAAACCAAAAATCATTTCTTGGACATAAACAGTGAGCTTGAACAGTCCAAGAGATCGATCATAATAGATTAAGAGCGGCGGAAAATCAAACAAATTGGAACAACAACAAAAAAAAAACAAAAGCCATGAATTAATAGAAAAAAAATAATGAAGAAAATTGAAGAGAAGAAGCCACTAACCTCAAATCGCTAGCTGGAAAAAGCGAAACGTTGCTTTTTCTCGCTTAATTTGGAAACTGAATGGGTAAGAGAGAGAGAGTTCGAGGAGGCCGTTTATATACCTAGCGAGAATTGTAGAGTCGGAGTGACCGGCTGCACAGGTAACGAGCCCTATATCACCGGCCATGTCCGGTTAATCGTGTGAAACGTGTCGATAACATGATTGCGGAGCCTAGTCGGTGTTAGATCGCACGGTAGAGACGGGAGCTTGTAGCCGACGTGGCACGATCTCACTCGTTAGTGGTAACTTGCGTATGATAGATCATGAGGATTTTATCCTGGTACGTCTCTTTTTAAGCAGAAATTGTCTACAGTCACGTCCTTTGCAGATCTTGAAAGCTGAATGCCACGTCAGCTAAGCGGCGTGATTTTCGGGTAAATCAAGGGTTGATACAGCAACGATCAGAGAAATACATGCAACGTGGCTAACATCAACTGTGCAGTGTACAATAAACAGTAGACATGAGTGCATGGTATTCAGCTGAGAAATTTACCCCGCATGAGAGTCTTAGTGGACGGTAACGGTAAACCCCGATATTACAATTTCGCAATTGTACGCGCAATAAAAACAAGCGCCCGTGTGGGCTTTGGCAGCGTGATAGGGTAAGCACCAGTCGCTTCTTACTATATTTTCTGCAATAATTTCAATCTCAATTCTTTTTATTACTTTTAACCTGAATATTATAGCCGGAGATTTTGCAATACCGTCACTGGTGGTTTAAATTTAACTTTTATTCTTAATATATAATTAAGTAAATTACTAAATTAGTCATTAAAATTTAACATTTTTTGCAATTTAATTTATAATGTTTTTGCATTGTTATTTGATCTTTAATATTTATTTATTTATTTTAAATATTTATGTAACGTTCCAGAACTTGAAATGAAAATAAATGTATGAATTGAATGCGGAAGCGAAATAATAGAATTATGATTTATATTCCTTACACAATAATTGAGAATATCTGATAGGGTTACGAGAATGACATTTCTAAAAGAACAAACGAAAAATCAAGAAATAAACAAAAATAAAATAATTAGCTATCATATGACGACATTCACTACACTTTGAAGGGAATCCGGGTGGTGAAGTATTCACGACCCCCTTGTTGATCGAGATCTGAATATTGGTCTTCTTGATCTGAAATGGTTAATGAAATGGTAAGCTGCACTAACTCAGTAAAAATATCACACTACGCATCAATACAGAAATAAAAGTTGGTAAAAATCATAAAAATAAATAATTGAACTCTTAAATTAAATAAATTCATTTATCATAAATAAAATTATTTATTGCATACTTACCATAGCGATATTTCTAAAATTATCCTATAGAGTCAATAACATAAACAACATCATAATATTATATTCAATTAGTCATAACAACAACTTTTCTTTTTTATTTACTTACTGGTCTCCTTGGGGGTCCATAGGGATGTCCCACCACGCATGAACCCATAATCTCATATTCAATTAATTAGAACAATAATTTTTTCTTTTTATTTACTTACTAGTCTCCTTGAGGGTCCATAGAGATGTCCCACCACGCGTGAACCTATAACAAAACTTGTCAACTAACCGATCGTCCCATACTCTATCCGATATGAGCGCTAAAAGTATCATCCCTCAATATCTCGTCCGGTACGATGATGAATCGGGACATTCCCATACCCCGTCCGGTATGAGCATCAAAGTTACAATTCTTTAATACCTCGTCTAATATGAGAATGAATCGGACCATCCTTGTACTCCGTTCGATATGAGATAACGTTCACAGTAGAGTTCTCTATGTACCCGGTCCATCCACCATCTCCTAGATATCCAGTAAGACAATTATTTTATTAATTCACTTAACCAAGTAATTTTTCGTTTACATTTAATTTTCAGTTTTATAATTTAATTGTAAATCACGCAAGCATCAAAGAAACACAACTGAATCATCTTACCAATTTTAGTGTATTATCATGTATTTAAAACTGTAAAATTAAACAATCAGTTAAAACAGGACAAACAGTAATAAATAACTGATTTCGACTCCATTAGTTACTTGTAATTAATTATCGAAGTTTTTTAAATTACACAAAATATCATATTATTTATAATTAGACTTCAATTTATAATAGAGAATAAGATGAGGGATTCTTACTTGAATAAGTGTGTGAAATATTGAACTTTTTACTGCGCCTACTGATGGTCTCCGAGTTTCTTGAATTTTCCTGTGGATGTAAAAATACACTTCACATACCTAAAAATACCCCCAAAAAATCTAAAATCAATGTTAAAAACCTTTTTATAGCTAATTTCAAAATTCTAGCACAGTGGCACCGCCGCTTGCGGCAGTGGTTTGCTCGAACTGGCCGTTTTTGGCCAGTTTTGATAGGTTTTATACCTATTCCTATGAGAAAATACTTTAAGGGGTATCAGTTGATCGAAAAAAGTTAAAAAACAAAAATTTACCTGCAATAAAATTTTCCGGTATGGCGGGTCCATCGGCTCACATTTGCGGCTGAGTATTTTTCTTTAGTCAACCTGTAAAAACAAAATTGTGAACACAATGATAGAAAAATCGTACGAAACGGAAAACGGAAAGGAGCTCATCGGAAACGATTTTTTATTTTTTATGCAACAGCATCGCTGGGCTTTACCTGCGGTTTTCGACTCATCTGCTGTTCCGTTTGCTCTGATTTGGCCATGAGAGTGTTCAAAATTAAATTCCTAGCGAATAGGAGAATTTTTACTTTTTTTGGCGGTCGGAGGTGGCTCCGGTGTGGCGGCGGACGATGGTCGGCTCCCTTATCCGGCGACTGGTTCTTCTTCTTCCGTAGGGGGCTGGCGACTAGGGTTTGGATTCAATGTGAAGTGAGATATTTATACTTGTCTCCCTTAAATCTGGACCGTTCATCACGTTTGATCTCGACTGTCCGATCACATTTAAAAATAAAATAAATATGGATCGTTCATCACGATTTGATCTCAACCATAAGATCATGTTTAAAAAGGGAACGAATTTGAACTGTTCATCGTGTTTAATCGCAATCGTCCGATCGCGTCTGATGAGGGAACGCATCCGGGCCGCCTAATTGCAGGCACGCGGATTGCCAGCGTGGCCTCCCGCATGACACTGAATCAGTGTGCCTTGCTACACGTCGCGCTCTAGTTTGTCAGGGCTGCTGAACTGAGCGGTTCTACGTGGCGCATTTTTTTTAATTGCGGTTTGATCTCTAATTTCTGATTTTTTTCAAAAATACTCCC